ACATTATGGCAGCAGCGTGACGGGCATTGTGGAGGTGGGCATGCTTGGAAGTCAGGGACACCGGCTTCGGCTGGATCCGGCAACAGCTCAGCCCGATATGACCCCTCAAGCGGTGCGGGCCGAGGGCGACGCAGGCCGCGGACGACCGTCTCTGCCGTAGCAGTCGGCTGTTACAGATGGTGGCGCGGTAGTGCTGGTCTTGCCGAGAGCGGCGTTGCAGCACCTGAGCACCAGTGCTCTCTATATTTGACTTTTTCAAATTCGTATTTTTGAAATTTCAAAAAAATGTGAAATTATTTCCCGGAATGCATATACACATTCCGAATACCCGTTGCAAGTTTCGGTACAAATCTCGTTTTGTTTTGGACTATAGAAAAAAAACAAATTTCTGACAGTACATAGGAGAAAAAAGGTGCCATTTCTGTCAGAAATTTCTCTTTTTTGTATTTCCCAAAATACAAAGTATTTCATCTCTAGATTTCTACCAGTCCTTAGGAATATGTGTACGTATTCACATATTTGTTTGAAGATTTTTTTGAGCATCGAAAGTGTGCTTTTCAAAAAATTCAAATATCAAGAGCAATGAAGCTCGGTAGCTGCAGGCACTTTTCGTGGTCTTGCCCCTCCTTCCTCTACTCATGCGGTCTTGGGTCTACAGCCGATGGCAGACCCTCATGGGTGGTGACGACAGCTCAATGCGCGATGCTTCGGTGGCCAGCCGGTGATGGCAGGAGCGTTCCAATGAGGGAGGCAGGAGGCCTCCCGGTCTTGTTGTCGCCGACATAATGTGAGGCCAGACTGGCTGTGACGATGACCCTGATCCCTGGTGGGACAGTGTGGTGTGGCCGACGACCTCCCCCTCCCTGAATCTAGCTTACCGGGTCCTCTTCCTGCCAAGGGGCTCATTTTGGGGTGGGAGGAGGGGCCTTCTGCCCTTCACCGTCCGGCGGCCTCCATGTGCTGTGGCGGCGGTTCAGGGGTGATCTCGGAGGCCGGGGTGGTGACCCTGGTGGTGGGATATTTATTTAAAGACGGAGCTATGTTCAGTTTCTTTCCTTTGTTTTATTCTATGCTCATGACGGAGATCACGCGTTACCATGGCCATGCAAGCGATATGGTGCCGGTGTTATGCGTTCGATGGTGGTGGTGCGACTGTGTTCTTTCGACTAGTCGTACCTTGGTTGAGAGGCTGAGAGTGCTCATCGGGGGACAAACTATGTCTGGCTTTGGCCAAACTGACATCGGCGGTATCCGTGGGCGTCGTCTCCTTCGTAAGACGTTGTTGCGGTTATTCTCTGGTCTTCGTACTGCTCTGTGTGAAAATCATGATCCTTTGGATCAGTCAATGGCGGCGTTTCGGTGTCGTATGCTTTCTGAAGACACTGCCATGAAGTCCATGGTTCGTTTGGCGGGGACTTGGTCACGATGGACTTCGACGACTTCAAGGAGTACTCTTGTTGCCATGTTTTGATTGCTTGGAGTGGTTTGAGGTGGTGTAGCTGTTCTTTAGCATCGTTGTATCGTGCGTTGGGCGTGTATGATATGGGTAACGTGTTGTATCTTATGGGGCGTATGGTCGTTGCTTTAGCTGTTCCTTTTGTGTAAAATAATAACCTGTGGACCATACGAGCCTGCCAAAGCACTATTATCTCACTTCAGCTGCTGCAACAAGTCAGCAGGTCATACAAAGCGTTCCTCCTCAAAGCGTTCACGGTCAGATCAGCTCCACCTCCCGCCGCTAACACACGTGTGGACGAGAAAGAAACCTCAGCAAAGGGAGCGCACAACAAGGAGAGCAATGCTGCGCTCCTGCGCCGGCCACGGCGCCAGGACGGTCGCCTCTCCGCGCAGGGCCACGCCGCCGCACCGCGGCAGGCGCCTGCACCTCCTCGGCCCGCGCAGCAGCGCAAAGAAGTCCCCCGAGGAAGCAGAGCGAGGCGGGGGCAACGCCAAGAACGGCCTCGCCGGCGCGCTCCCCAGCAAGACCGTGCTCCTGCGCGCCGGCGCGGTTCTCTTCGCCCTCGGCTTCGTCGACGCCGGGTACGTGAGCTCTCACATCACGTCGGCCGGCGCGCACCGATCGTAAATAAGCGAAGCCTCGTTGGCTTGCAGGTACAGCGGCGACTGGTCCCGCATCGGCGCCATCTCCAAGGACGCCGAGGAGCTGCTCAAGCTCGGGGCCTACGCCGTCGTGCCTCTCTGCCTGGCCCTCGCACTCCGGGCGCCCGGAGACGGCGGCGATGAATCTTAGGAAGCGCGAGAGAGAGCTGCATGGTGCATGCCATGTAGTGCTTGCTTATTCATGTAGTACGCGTCAGTACCTTCCTGTACTGCATCCGAGTGAGCGGTAGACGACGCTTTTGAGATAAGTACGAGAGAGTGTTCAACCATGGTTCTGTATTCTGTTGAGCAGTCAGCTGTAAACTGCCGAGTGCTGACAGAGTTTTAGAGGAGCGGGGAGGTTTAGGAACTTCAGCAGTGTTTCTTGTTGCCTGCCTAGCGTCTAATTTTGGCAAATTGAACTGCATATTCCTTCCTTACCTGCACCGCTGCACGGATCCATACACATGCCTCGTGAATTTTCATATGTGGCTAAGTTTAGGACTTCAGCAGTGTTTCTACTTGAAGCCTGACTTGCCACGTTCCTTCCTTACCTGCAAGGATCCATACACGCGCCCGCCTCAGGAATCTTCATGTGTGGCTTGCCATATCAACTACTCAGTCACTCCGCTCTAAAATAATGAAGTTTTATGTTTGTCCTAGATCAAACTATTTTAAGTTTGACCTACTCTATATTATTTTTCTGATATCTACAGTATTAAAAATTTATGGAATGAAAATATATGTTATGATGAATTCTTTTTGATATAAAAGACAAGTGCTCTGCCCATTTCATATTTAATTGTGTCACACTATTTAATTTTGTCATTAAAAATTTCAACTGCTCAAAAATACAACCTTTCGTCAAATGTGTGCTCAAAAACACCACTCGACATCATTACCATTCGGTCAAAGGCCATTGACTAGGGTGAAGTGACCAAAAATGCCCCTGGGCCCCACTTGTCAGTGCTCCCTTATAACTTGTGGCCCCTGGTTATTAGCATACCAAGAATTAAATTAGAAGAAAATAATAATGACACGTGGGGATTCGATCACCCGCACCCGAAGCTATTTTTACTTCTAATTTCATTCTTTGAGGGCTGAAAACAAGGACCCATAGGTTACAATGAGTTGTTGAGGAAACAACGACAAGTGGGGTCCAGCGGTATTTTGGTAACTTCACCACGGTCAATGGCCTTTGATAGGATGGTAACAATGTCGAGTGGCATTTTTTAGCACACGCTTAATGGAAGGATGCCATTTTTTTAGTAATTAAAAATTCTAGTGCCAAAATTAAGTAGTGCGACACAACTAATAGAAAACCTTTCATAAAAATAGGGAAAGGAGAAAAACTGTACAATGGTTATTTACAAACCTAGAGAAAAGCAAGCCAAAAAATATTACATTTCCAAGGGGGCAACCACATAGCCGAAGCAAAAGCCAAACACACGTGGTGAATCTAATTAAGCTAATTTGGTGTAGTAGATGTTGGTATAATATTTTTTTTATAAGGACAACAGTGGCGGAGCCAGAACTTTTCTGGAGCCTGGACAAGTTTGAGCCTTAGGTGAAAGAAAATTCGGTGTTTGGAGTACAACATATAAAATGACACCAAATTTTAGAACCATAAATTCTATTAATATATTATATGTTGGATATCATGAGAATACTCACAACTTTTTCGTCTTTCTTGGAAGATGCTCAATCTCATCTGGATTAAATTAATCGGCAACATTAGGTGGTGGTTGTGGCTCTACTTCTGCTTCCGATTACACTCTATTCACATTTGGAGTGCTTGTATATTAACCCAAAGGGATAAGTATATTTTTCGTCCTCGGATTTTTTCGAGAGTGTAGAAATCGTCCCTCAACTTAAAATTGGATAATTTTCGTCCCTCAACTATCAAAACCGGATAGTTTCCGTCCCTCACGCTGCTTCGGGTGGTTCCCGTCCGCGTGAACAGTAAACCGATGAACAGTATTTTTTAGGAAAAGCAAAAAAAGTCAAAAAAATCTGAAAATTTGTGGGATCAAAGTTCCTCGGGTGCGCAAGGTGCGTGAATTTTTTTTTGTGCTATTTAGACATTCCAGGAGCTCGTGACAAAGGAAAAACCATAAATATGTACGTCAATAAACAGTAAATTTAAAAAAATAGAAAAAAATTCAAAAAATATGAAAATTGTTGACATACAAGATGCTCGGGTGCTCAATGTGCCTGCAAAATTTCGTGGTGTTTGGACATTGTGGGAGCTCGTGGCAAAAAAAACATTGACTATGAAAGAAACTTTGAAAAAGTGCACTATTTTTTTTGCTAGAGCTCCTCCTATGTCATTTCAGCACGAAAATATGCGAGCACCTTGCACACCCAAGCATCTTTGATGCCAAAAAAAATCATATTTTTTGCTATTTTTTAATTTACTGTTCACTTACGTACATATTTATAATTTTTTCTTTCTCATGAGCACCTGGAATGTCCAAACAATATGAAAATTTGTACGCACCTTGGGCACCCGAGGAACTTTGATCCCACAATTTTTCAGTTTTTTTGGTTTTTTGCTTTTTTTTAATTTACTGTTTGCTGGTTTACTGTTCATGACGGACTAAAACTGCCTGAAGCGGCGTGAGGGACGAAAACCATCCGGTTTTGATAGTTGAGGGACGAAAACTATCCAATTTTAAGTTGAGGGATGATTTCTAAACTCTCGGAAGAGTTCGAGGACGAAAAATATATTTATCCCTAACCCAAAACCTCCTCATCTCCGAATTATTGTTCACAAATTATTATGTGCCTTGGTACAAGAGAAGTGGTCTTCGGGGCCAATAAACCTGGACGGAGGGAGTAGACGTCTTCATAGTCGAAGGGAACGTCTTCTGTCACTAAATGCACATCATTAGAAGGCCCAAAATAAATCTAGAAAAATACGAGCATCAATGTCAACTCTAGGATTTGAACTCCTGTGGGCTCGGATACCGCTATCTTCCTAACCATCCAACCACGGTTTGGTTTGCAAAATTACCATGGAGCCAGTGACGCTACACACGCTTCATTGGGCGGGCCATAACCGGCTAGCTTAGGAAATATGTCTGAAATTTTGCTCCGAGAGCCTCAATTCAGCACCATTCTACACTGTAATCTTATCTGACTGGACGGGCCATGGCATGGTTTTGCCCAGCCGTAGCTCCGCCACTGCATGGAGCTAAAACATTGATTCACCAATGATTGAACGGGTTGAGCAGCCTCACCAATGAAGAAGCCCGGCATGACCTCCTCCTCGATGCTTTTTGTGTCGGGTGAGGGAAGCAGGGCTCATGCGCCCTGTAAGCGTGGGCCGGCCCAACAAGCGAGCTTTCGCTCAGTCATCCCCCTTCGATCCCTCGGTTAGCCGGTCAAAATGATCATGGTTCTAACAAAATGTTTGTACATCTAATGGGCCGACCCATTTCAGTTTGCTGGTCTGGGCGCTATGAGCGGGTTGTACTGTTAAGACCAAATAAAGCCCATCCGATCAGGTGTCGAAGACGGTTTGGTCGTGGACTATAATTGATGCCAATCAGACCCCCAATGCCCCAACCCAAACTCCATATCAATCGCACCGGAGATCGCTGACGCCCGCCCGGCCGCGGCCATGGAGGAGGAGAAGAAGATGAAGCTCTGCTTCTCCATCCCCTCGAAGCCCAAGGTCAAGCCCGCCACGCCCCCCGCCGCCTTCTCCGTCGCCGCCGTGGCCCCCGGCCCCGCCCCGCGGTTCGTCACCGTGTTCGATCCCTCGGAAACCCTGACCCCAGCGCCCGCCGTCATCGCGCCCCTTCCCGACTTCCGCAAACCCTCCCCAGCCGCTGCCGCGCCGGCCGCGCCCGTCGTCATCGCGCCCCTTCCCAACACGCGCAGGCTCGCCGAGGCCCCCGCCTTCGTGCTCGGCGCCTCCGACAGCCGCTCCTCCAGCGCAGCCTACGGCCTCACCGTCCGCAATACGGATTCGAAGAGGAAGCTTGAGCCCCAGGACGATGCCGCTAGTCAGCAGCCGCCGCCTCCAGGCCCCAGCGGCGAGGACCTTATGCTGCGGCGGTTCAAGGAGGACATGGCCGTTCTCCCGGAGATCCAAGGCACGGACGAGTATGACGAGGTGCCTGTGGAGGGCTTCGGCGCTGCTCTCCTCGCTGGCTATGGCGGGAAGGAAGGGGATCCTATCGGCAAGAAGTACAAGGGGATGGGGGATGTCAAGGTTCGTGAGCACGGCCGCCGCCGCTGCGGCACGCAGGGTTTAGGCTCGTAATGTTGCCAGGTCGTGACAGTTCCTGTTTCTTGTTTATTTTCTTGATTTTAGTTATCGTATATGTATGTATGGTTTTATCCAGCGAGGGTGGAGCATTGTTCTGAACTTAATAGCATCAGACTTTGTATTTACCTATCTAGAAAATCAGTGTTTTCATTCTGAGATATTTCTGATTGGCACAGATTTGGGCATCCAATTCTTGAGTGTGAGCTTGGGAGTTGGGACAAGAGAATGTCGGAGCGGGCTAGCTCAAGCACTGAAGAACAACACTAGTTCTTCTTGACATGAAAACCCGAAATCATTCAAGAGAGCTTATGCACCCCGGTACCTTTATCCTGAGCGTCCATGCTGCTAGGGATCTGAGTCAGCCTGGTCCGTAAAATGCCACTGCCCCGTTACTTTTCCAGGGGATTACAGGGTCAGGCACTCGTGGCCCGTCGCAAGGCCGCTAGGGGCATTGTTCATACTCAGGGCACTGTTTCCTCTGACCGCTGCGCACACCAGATAAAACCAAATGCATGTGGACGTTTTCACCTCTTCCCCGCGTACTCACATGGGATCTACATGTACTGTTTCAAACTACACATATCCATGGCACAAATCGTCTTTGACTTGTAATTTGTATGCGTCATGTACAAGGTCCGTGTTTTGTTTTGGGAGAGGATGGATGTGTGATCCATCGATGATGAGCCAGGCACATGTGTGAACCAAAGCCGTGTCATGTACTAGGTCCATGTTTTATTTTGCGAGAGGAAGGAGCCTGCAAACAATGAACAGAAACGAACATATACCAACCGTTTTGCAGAACCATTCGACCGGCATTCTCCCTCAGGTGAACCTTAAATGTGTAATCACCGCCAGTGCCGATACGGACGGCT